GGTGGGTACAAGAAACAGGAAAAACATAAGCATCACTTAACCACAGTTGCATTTGTTGAACTACTAATTGAACTGATCATGCAAATACTGTTGCATCGTCTGTGTTATGTGTGTAATCTATCAATCTCTAGACAAGACTGCCAGGTAACAGTTCAGCGCCAAGTGATATGGCCGTTTTCACCAGTGGACAGATGAACAACACCTCCCAGACTCACAGTCACGTTAACCCCTTCACATAAGGCTGAAGCTGCTCATACACTTGCACTGAGCTGAGAATTGTTAAAGCAACATTACGCCTGTTCTACAGGGGGAATGCACCAGCACTGGAGCTGGGCTCAGCAGAGGCATAGCATGGCAGAGGCAAAGAGACCAAAAAGGACGTAGTAAGCGAGAACCAAGCAAGAGGCAAGAATAAATCTTGCATTGGCTTTTAGTCATTGGCTTTGTGAAATAAAAGGCTGCAAGACCGACACCGAACTGGCCCTGCTGTTGGTCTAGTGAGTAATATTAGCTAACTTGCTGTGTGTTGTGTTGGTGCACTTGCTTGATCTATGGCAAAGTTGTTGACTCTCAAGGTTTTGATCATAAGTAATGTAATCAGAACAAATGCAGCCGTGTATAAGTAAATTTCAATCTGAAACTGGGGGTGGTAAGTCTAAAATAATACTAATAATGTTGCTTTGACATTCAAATGGAAAGGAAAATGGAAAACATTGGAAATGTAGAGTTTGGTTACTGAGATCTGTCTGGGGATGCATTAAATAACACGGCTGATAACTTATGAATTAATGTTAGCTAGCTAGTTAGCTCATTAGTTCACAATAGTAAGCTAGCAAGAAAGGGGGAATAAACAGTTTTTCCTCAACATAATGCAATTCAGTTGCCTTTAAATGAAACTAACAAGTGTGTGGTTTTTGACACTGGTGGTACAAGAGGTTCACAGTTTTAACCTACGAGGTCACTTCATAAGATTTTCTTTGCCCTCTAGCCAAAGAACACAAAATCTTAGAATATGCTGCTATTGTAAGGACTATTACAGCTAACCTCTTTAACATTAAGGAATATTCTTTACATTGACATTAAACTAATCAAATGACTCGAGGCTTATGTCACAGAAAACTCACCACTTAGCAGTTATACCAACTTTAGCCAATTTCATTTTTTTGTTTTGTTAGCCAAGCTGTCAAAACCATAACAATGCTGCTTTGTATAAAACCATGGACAGCCACTCCCAATAAAGAAGCTAACACGGGCGAACTGTATCCTTACATTACCCGCCTAGTGGGAATGGTGACATGGCAGAGTAAATATCTAAGTTATGCTTGGTGGATAAAGACAAATATTTAGCAAACCGAAGAGACAAGATATTTTCCTCATACCAAACAGAGTTTATACACCAGTAATTATTGGCCTTAAATTCAACACGTGGTCCGAGAGGTGTCCAAATGGATTCCCGTGTTGTTCTGTTATGCTAGTTTTGTAAATAAGCAGTAATTCGCTAACCCGTTAGCCACAACATGTTAGCCACAACAACATAACACTATAGGCAAAATTTTAAAAAGTTTGTTTTGATGTCTTTCTGCCCCCTGGTGGTAAAAAAAAACAGTTCATGCAGCCTTGGAAAGCTTCGCCCAAACAAATAATTGATTTATTTTATTAATTTATCGACAATGTTCTTGATGAAATTCCCTTGTTTGCCTGTAGGTGCAGTAGACCATTATACATTTCAATATGCATAAAAATACAGTTTTAAAATATTGTTAAATATGTTTTTTGCTTATTTATTAATTTTTTTTTATTATCACAGTTTTGGTCCCTACATAACCCCATGAACTACTTAATAGTACTAGTAATGTATGTAGTAACACATTCATATAGCCATACTGTCAAGTCTGACCCATTATGTAGAGTTGAAATGAAGAATCTGAGACTGGACTTGGATGTGCACTTTATGACTCACCAACATCTTTACTCTGCTGTCTCGTTTGATCTCACTTACACACACACTCTCTCTCTCT